GAAGGAAGGAAGGAAGGAAGTGGAGAAAGAAAGAAAGAAAGAAAGAAAGAAAGAAAGAAAGAAAGAAAGAAAGAAAGAAAGAAAGAAAGAAAGAAAGAAAGAAAGAAAGAAAGAAAGAAAGAAAGAAAGAAAGAAAGAAAGAAAGAAAGAAAGAACTACATAGAAATTACTCTACAGATGTTAATAATTGTCTGGGGTGGGAGCTGGGGAATGGGAAGGCTGGCTTCTAAGTAAACAATGCAAAAAAAGACAAAGAGGTCCCTGCTGATGTACAACAATAAAAGCAGTTTTCTCAGCAGTGTCAGCTTAGCAAGCCTGAGGGTCTGTATTTTAAACCCCAGTGGCCTGACGTCACTCACCCTGATGGTGTGTGTGAAGGAAGCTATCTCTCTGCAATGACCGACCTGAAAAGTGTTTTCAAAGCCCAGTGGGCTAATGTCACTCACACCGACGGTGGATGGTGGGATCTCTCAGGGTGGCAGCCTGGGGGAAGTGAGCTGCAACACCAGCAGCCGACCATCACTCACTCTGATGGCAGGGGGTCAGCTGGGATTCTTTGGTGGCCTCCCGGGCAATAGTTAAAAAGAAGATTTTGGTTCACATGTCAATGTCTAACTTGAAAGCACCAAGTATAAAAAGTGATTTTTTTTTCTTTTTTTCTTTTTTTTTTTTTTTTTTTAAATTGTGTTTCACTAGTGGCAGCAGCGCGGCCAGGAAGGGGAGTTTCTCTGCAAGGACATCTGATTGCATGTGAAGCTTACAATGGGGCTGGCTCTGCCTGGTTTTAATTTTTTTCTCCTGTATGAGCTGAGATATTTTATTCCCCCATACCAAAGAGGGAGAAAAATTAAATCCAGACAGCTCCAACTGCACTTTACATTTCGTATGCAATCAAACAGACTTTGAGAATACCATCAGCTTTTTTACCAACCTGCCTACCATATAGAGAATGTAAATAAATACTAAAATCCCAAAACATCATGTTCTTATGCTAACTCATCTTGCAATGCAGAAACTGACATTTAGGACAATTTCTCCTGTTAAATTTAACCTGAGACCTAAAGCATTGTAAGGTTTGCAAAGGATTACATAGGAATAGTCTCTGTCCCACTGCAAATACTTAAAAAATCCTACAAGCATAAGTGCAGCTGATATTTCACCAGCAAAGTAAATTATCTGAGACAGAATGAAGCCAAAAGTATCACTAGTTATAGAGAAAGCTCTTTACAAAGATAAAATTTTCAAAATAAAATTCTCTAACTAAAACTTAGTATTTTAAAAACTAAACCCTAGCCCTATGAAAATAAATTAATGTTACTTAGTCTGTGTTAAACTGTCATGCTTAGTTGTCTGAAGGGTCAGAATCTGAGAGATATCCAACTCTGAAATCATAGCTTCTGTATATAAAATCAATGCAACCAACAAATAAATGAAACTGGGAATTCATGCAGCTCTAGACAATATAATCAGCTTTTTTGTATTTTGTATCCTTTTTCCACCAGCTCTTTGCCCCATTAGACTGTCAAGATCAAGACTGATGCTATTGTTTCCGACATAGTTCCTCTCTGCCACCCAGAAGAAAACAAACTAATTCAAAGCAACAATACATTAAGGAATAGCTCAAGAGTTCTGCTGGTCTCTGCTAACTGTAGTTTACTTGAGACTATGAAATTATTTCTACCAGAACTGGTTTGTTTGGGCATGAAGTAAGGCAGCGCAACCTCAATCTAGCAGGGAAAAGTAAAAGGTTAAATTTTGGTCTCCAATTTTCACAATGGGTGCAGCTCACATATGTGAAAATATAAACTCTCTGCACAGTTAAGCTAATAAGCTTTCTCATAGTGAGACAATAAGAACTGTGAGCATACTGTACAGCACAATAAGTGCTGGCACATGAGCTGTCTCAGTCTTGAGGGACAGTGTTTCACAGTATATCAGTGACAGAAGATCAGCTTCCAGCCAGAATTATGAATGAAAAGTTTAAGCCTTTGTAAAAGTCTTGACTTCAAATGATACTTCTGCAGTCACCTCAAAAATTGATGTACTGAACTATTTTGAGGAATATGGCAATTAATACTCCATTTTCTAAGAGTGCTATGCACAAAAATTCGTTAGTTTAACCTAAGACATAATGATTAAAAAAGGTGTGTGAATACACAAGTATGTGTATGTGTGAATACATTTTCACAAATTTAAGCCAATCAGATAAAACAGTACACATTAAACCTGCATAGAAGTATCTTACACATAAAATTAATAAATAACTTATAAACCTGGGTATAACTTATAAACCTGGGTAAGTAGTGAGAGACAGAAAAATTCATGTCTCTCCCTTTCTCAGGCACCAGACTGCAAGGGACTGTTTGTGCATATTAATTTCACGGTAAACTGTGTGCTTGGAATTGCCACAAATGTTGTCTCTGGAGAGCTATGGTTATTTGTCTTGAAATAGTCTCTCATAATTTTGTGACTATTATACAAAAATACTTCATCAACAAATGCTATGGTTACATTTAAATAAGTAAACAAACAGTTTAAGGATCCTTTTGTACCCCTGATGCAGCTCAGCTTACATGTCACAGCTCACACCCTTGCAGCTAAACTCCTCCTCCACTTCTCCCCTACTCAAAAAAAAACCAACCTAAAACCCAGAAAGGCTTCCTCCACGCGGCTTATTAGAAACAGTCCCAGGCCCATGCTCATTCCCAGACTGTGCTCAGACATTGTTTGGGATGGTGCTAATTAGTCAGGGTCAAAACGGTTCCAGGGGCTGTGCAAGCAATTAGCAGCACGTTCACTTGCACACATGCTGAAGCCCATCAGTCGTGATCTAACACAGGACCATCCTGTTCCTGCAGCTGCCAAAGGCAGCTCCTGAATTTGGCAACCTCCTTTGGCAGATTCAGTTAATAAGGTGGCAACTTCAAATTCCAGCTGCCATGTGCTACCTCTGTCCTTTCCCCACCCAAAGGAGAGGCAACAGGGAGGGCAGGAGTTTGAAGAACTGTGTCACACAAAGAACAGGAGGTTCCACATGCTGCCCAAACCACTGGCTTCCTCTCTGTTAGGGAGAGAAGACACAAAGCTGCCTAAAAGATCTTCAGATGAGCTATGATAATCTGTCAGCTGATAGACAGACTCAGATAATTCACCTCAGTTCACAATGGAGCCCTCAAAGGCAACTAGCTTCACCAAACCACTGGTGCCTTTGAACAGTTATAAAATCTTCCCCTGCTCACATAAATGATAGAACAGTCCTCTTTGCTGAAGCACCACAAAAGAGAAAAGTTTGGATTAGATGAAGTAAATCTGAGTTGATGTGAATGCTGTCATCACTTACGCACTTGACAAAGACTTTGGAAGAAATAAAAACTAAGGAATTTTGTGAGATGCAGATATTCTTGCTATGTCTCATCTGCAGGTGACTGAAGCTTTGATGTGAGAGACATGCACTGTTAGACTGATAACTAGTACACCTGTGGAAAAAAAAAAATCCCACAAAAATGTGGGAAGGAGTTGTTCAAGTCTTTCCAACTCACTGGACAAAACCTGCTAAGTTCAAAAGTTTGGGGTATTTTCCCATCTGCATTTAACAAAAGACACCAGTACCCCATATACACCATTCCAATTAATCACTGGTACAAAATTATTCCTGTTATCTGTCTTACTTCACCTGACTTTGAACATTCTAACAATTGAAAAATTAATTTTAAATACTCACATCTGTAAACTTATTTAAAAATTTATAAATTTATAAATTGTTGTTATTACCGTGTCTCTCAATTATGCTTCCCAGACAGGTTTTTCCCTTTTCTCCTTTTTCTGCAGCATTGTTTCTGTTTTGAAAGGGAAAAACAGGATACACTTTCATTTCCCCACATACCAGAAGTTTTGATGGGAAGAAAGAATAGGAAATTACATATTTTACAGTGGAAAGTTTGGATAGGATGACTTGCAACTGCCTACTACAAAAAATATGAAATAATGGCTCTAGGTCTGACATTTCATTAGGACTATATAATATAGGTGTTGCTTTGAAAATAAATGTTCTGTTGATTTGATACTGCAGAGGACATTTGTTGAAAGTTTGTTTAGCTTTTCATTAAAATTATTTTTCAGTCTTCATTTAGGGCAAGAAAATGCTGAATATACTTGCTTGTGCAGAATTTTTGTATCTGACCCTGTCAAACTCTGCTGTCAAAATCAAGCACAAGGCTTGCTTCTGTTGGAGCAAAGCAGAAACAGTTAGTCAAAACCAACATCCCCTCCTGTAGGAATTTAGTAGCTGGTTTTGGTTTTTTTTTTCCTAAAAATTTTCTCTTTTTTAAAGTAAAATTAATGCTGAAACTTCATTTAAGCTTTTTCTTTTTTCCCAAAATGTCATCAGATTTTTAATATAAAAATAATTAGAGTAATTTCAAGAATATCATCTATCATCAGAAACAAAAACTTTTCAGTTCTTCACAGTGTTGCAGATCCTATTCTAACACTGCTTTTGCACCATGTGTTTTTGGAAACTTTATGTCATTTGAGCTTTTGGCACTGAACAGAATCATACTTGACTTTGGATTTATAGCAATCTGTCTTCTTCAACCTTGTACAAAGCACCCAAATTATTGTAGGGAATGAGTACTGTTATTTACTTCCAGTTTACAGTTAATGTATTAAAAATATGACTCCAAGAGACTAGGGATTATGTCAATCCTTCTTGCTTGAAAATAGGAGGTAAAGCTGGAATTGGTTTAAAAATACAACAGAACTCCTGGAAATGCCCCAGAATGCTAGAGGCTTCCTTATCTCAGCAAACTAAGAATGTGAATCCATTTCAGAGAGTGAAACTGAGAAGTGTGCTAAAAAACAGGCATGAGAAGATGCACCAACACTTTCATGTCTTTGTATAGAGTGCACCATTTTGTCTGTGAAACATAATGGGAAAGAATGAGGCCAAAAATACCTGTCCCCACAGTTTCTGTACCTAGGAAGGAGGTCTCCAAGGAAGTCCTCCCTGGGGCTTGTCTCCTGCCATCCAGAGCCACAGAATCAGCAAGTGTTAAGGGTATACAAAAAAAGGATATATTTAGATATACTTTATATATCCAGAAACAGATCTTAAAAGATCATCTAGTCCCAATACCCCTGCCATAGGGTAGAGACACATCCCTAGTTCCATAGCCCAGGTTTCTCAAGGCTTTATTCAAAACCGAAACCTGCTTTTGAACACTGGGAAATCCACAACCTCCCTGGGCAACCTGTTCCAGTGTCTCACCATCCTCACGGTAAAGAATTTCCTTCTGGTAGCTAACCTTAATTTCCTCTCTTCCAGTTTGTGCCCATAAAGATGTCACAACCAACGCTGCCAGAAAAAGTTTCTGGGCCAAACATGAGGCTGGAGAAAAGGAACGTCTGCACCCCAACCACGTGAACGACTCCTCCACGGAACTCCGGGCATCAGCTCTAACTTCTCCCCAGGCCAGCAGTGCCCTTCGCTCCTGCCTCTACCCCGGCCTCTCTCCATTGCACCCTATTCCACTACCCTTCCCTTCCTGCCGCCTCTTCCCGCCCTCGCCTTCGCGTTTCCTGTCCGGGGCGGAGGAGGTTTGGCCCCGCGGCGCCGCCGTCTCCCAGAGGCTGCGTTGAGCATCATGGCGGCGTCTCTCTCAATGTCAGCGGCGCTGAGGGGCTTCGTCGCCAGGAGCGGTGCGGCCGCGGTCCGCCCGCCGCCGCCCAGGTAACGGCACCGCAGGCTCCCCACCGGCCGGCCGGGGGGCACCGCCGCACCTCGGCGCCCGCGGGGACCCG